CATAATCTTTTGAGGTTAATTGGTTGTCTTTTCCTCCCCTTGTGGATCTCCTTTTCAGCTTGTCTTTCACCACCATTTATATTGCTTTGAGTAGAAAACTCATCAGTGTTTAAATTACTTTCAGGAAAAAGCTGTGAATTTCTAGACATCAAGAATGGCTTCTTGAGCTGAAAACATCTTGGCAGAATAATGGGAGGATATTTCATCAAACACAACATCTTTAGAAGTAACAAATTTCTTGGTTTCTGGATCCATACACCTCCATCCTTTCCTACATGAATCATAGCTAACACAAATACATTTTTTTGCTTTCGGGTCAAGTTTAGTTCGATTAGATTTTGGAATATGAACATGCATTTGGCTATACATTGTACAAGATCTGAAAAGGAGAGTTTTCTTTACCTGGCCATGGAGGGAAACGATTTATTACATGACATGCACATTGAAAAGCTTCAGCCCAAAGCTCTCGAGGGAGATTTTGTCATGTAACCATGCAAGACTTGTTGAAGCGATATGTGCCAACTTCCTTTCTGTAACCCCATTTTGCTGAGGGGTATTGGGACATGTCATTTGTCTTTAAATGCCATTCTTCTCACAAAATTGAAAGAAATCTGCTGACATAAATTCATCACCAATGTCACTCCTTAAACACTTTATTTTGTTGTCAAATTCTTTCTCTATATTATTGTAGAACTGAATAAATTTGGAAAGTGCTTCATTTTTCTCTTTCAGAAAATACACCCAAGTGAATCTGGGAAAATCATCTACCATTATCATTGCATATTGATTGATGTTGCGACTTCTTGTTTTTGTTGGTCCCATCAAGTTAACGTGCACCAACTCAAATGGAGCTAATCTATGATTAGAGGTATTTTTGAAGGGAAGACAATGTGATTTTCTATATTGACAGCCTTGACAAATCACATTTTTATGTATATTCTTCAAGGGTAGCATGCCATCTATCAATCTTTTTGAAGAAATTTGCTGCAACATTTGATAACCCAAATGACCCAACCGAGCATGCCAAATTGCAGCATTATCGGTTTGACTAGTTTTCTTCACATAAGCTTCACCTGCTGACTAAGAAACAAGGAGCCTTTCTTTTCATCAGTTAAAATAACATCAGCAGAAATATTTTTCATATTATCAAGCACCTTCATATTATTTGGCCCAAATAAGACATCCTTTCCAGAATTTGTAATTTGAGATACTGAAATTAAATTTTTCTTCAAAATTGGAACATGATAAACATCATTAATTTGATGTTTGTATCACCAATACCAAACTTCACAACTCCTTCATTCATTACTGGATAAGTAGAGTTGTCAGATGTAATAACAACTCTCTCTCCATCATGTTGATGCAGCTCCGAAAGCAGCGAATCATTTCCGGTGACATAATGTGAGCAGCCAGAATCAATAATCCACTCTTGCTTGCAGCTTTCATGGTTAAAAAGAGCTTGAACTGGGTCTGGTTCAACAACAACAGTTTCTTTCCTTTCAACTAGTTCAGTGGTGAAACATTGCTCCCAATTGAGTGATTCATTATCTTCACTTGCGATGTTTGCTTTGGAAAGCTTCACCTTACAATTCTTCTTAACGTGTCCAAGTTTTCTACATCTGTAACACTTGACAGATTTGCGATTTTGTGAGCTACCACCAGTAGATTGTTCAATACGTGACCATTTTTCATTGTTCTTGTTTCCAGCTGCTGAATTTTTCTTGTTCTGCTTTCCCTTTGAGAAGAGAACATGTGAGTCAAACTTTTTTGCCATTTGCTTTGCCAAAGCCTCTTGGTTGGAAAACAAATTTTCTAACTCTTCAACTGAAGGTTGCTTGGCCCATCCCTGGATAGAGATAATGAAATGTGTGTACTCTTTCTTCAATCCTCGAATAAGAAAACGTCGTAGTCTTGCTTCACTGATTTTCTCATCTGGGTCTAATTCTGAAATTTCAGCACAAATACTTACAACTTGTAAGAAATATTCAGAAATAGACATACCTCCTTGTGTTAGCATTGCTAATTCATTTTCCAACAATTGTAACCTTGCTGTATTCTTTTGGGAAAACAATTTCTCTAATATCTCCCAAACTTCTTTCAGTGAATTAGCATCATGAACATGGTCAATAAACTCTTTGCTAATTGAAGTCCTCAAAGCAAAAAGAGTTTTACCACATTTAATCTTCCATTTCCTCCGTGGTTCAGCATTTTCTGGAGTATCATCAGGAATTGCAGCTTCAACACCAACAACAAGTTCCCACAGATCTTGACCTTGAACATAGGCCTCCATACACATTCTCCAATACTTGTAGTTTGTCCCTACAAGCTTCTCAACACCATATTGTGTGCCTGAACTATTTCCCTCATTTGCTAGCTCCATACTGCTTATAAAAGAACCTCCCCTTCACAACTTTCAATCTCCTCCAACAAGACAAAACAACTTGATAGACAAGAAGAAGGAAAGAGCTGTAAAAGTGCTAGAACTTGGCTCTGATACCATGAAACAAAAATAAAAAAACAGAGGAAGTTTATAGAGTAGTAATATGAGAATAAAACACTAGAGAAGCTATTGTGAAAAATTAATGAATGAAAATACATCAGATACAAACTGAATTTATAGGCAAAATACTAAAGTTAAACCCCCTAAAATTCTGCAACTACTACAAGAAAATTTTCAACTAAACAATCTGCAACTGCTATAAAAAACTTACAACTAAGTAATTTGCAACTACTACATAAAAAACTTCCAACTAAATCTAAAATTGACACTTCATAATCCGACTTTATGTTCTACAAAATAGGAACTAATTTGTTGACATTGTAAATTTAAAAATAAGATGCACTAATTTTTAACAGTTGTTAGATATTTTATGGTAACAATTCAATGTTTTCATGCAATTTGGTTTTACCAGCCTCGTTGTCCAACGCTATTATG